TGTACTGTGTGATGAATTTTAATTTAAGCATGTTTCTCCAATCAAAGATTTAACATCCAAAGGGGATTCATTTATTTAATTGACAAATAATGTCAATGATAGTGTGTGAGAAATTGAATGATTGTATAAAAAAACAAAATCAAGAATAAAGTTTGTGGCCCCACATTTTGCAGCACTTGATGCTTTTAAAAATTTCAGTTCTGGAAGACATACTGTACTCTCTGACAAGAAAATTCATAATGAAAATTGGTGAAAGTACCTCGGTCATGTATCTGGGCAAATATACTGTATATAAGATCAAATATATCTTTATTTTCATATATACTGTATTTTTCAAAAATATTTTCATCAAATCTCTTATTTTCCCTATCGTGTTCTTGTAAAAGGGCACATTAAAAAATTCATCTTGTTTTGGTTTGTTGCTCATTGTAAAAGTGAAGATGGGCGTTAACAATCTGTTGAGTTGTGAGCTAATTAATTCATCCATAAAGAGAAGCAAAAAATCTGAATGTTTAGAGCAGACAGCAGTTTCTCCTGCTTCCGTGGTGACCAAGGACAGAGACAGAGGAAGACAGAGAAAAGGAGAAAAGATGAGAAAGTGAGGAGGTGGCAGAGTGACAGATGCAGACAATGACAGACAGATAAAGGTAGAGACAGGAAATAGACAAAGTAATACAACATTAATGGAGACAATAGGCCTAATTTTCTTATTCATCATTTGTTACTGTGCTATTGGGAATGTGCCTCTGCATTATTCTACTTGTCTGTCATGTTAGTAAAAGCTCACTGAAGTCAAGTGAAACGGATTGAGTGGCACATGGAGACAGACAGAGGCATGGGGAAAGGAGAGGTGTCTGGTGACGGAGGCGAGTTCACCTGCAGGTATTCAGAGACGGAGGAGCTTGTTTAATGTAGGGCAGCTTTCCAACAGGGCATTATTCAGCCCTAAATATAGACAGGACAGAAGTAGGCTGAGCTAACAGCACTGCCAAAAGGCCACGAAAATAAGCCATAACATGAAGCCTTGTGTACAGTGGGTGGAGGCTGTGTCAGATATGTTTTCATATATTGTTTAGAGACTCAGGTTTAAAGGAGCTATATGTAAGTTTTGCCATAGCTATATAGCCATGGTTAGCATTAACTGTTGCTTACTTACCAGTCTAGAACAAATGTGACTTCAACATCAAACTTAATTTCTTTACTCACCAAGAGCTGTGTCCAGCAGTTGAAAGCAACCTCTTGTTTTGCTTCTATTTCTAACACTTCTTTTCTTGTAGGTACTGAAGCTAGCATGCTAACCAGCTAGCCCCGGCTCCATTGGACTGTCTCATTGCTTCTCTGATACCCTATCACTGTAGCGTCCAGTCTGTCCTGAAGTAGTGCTGCTGCTGCGTATTATAATCTCTTGTCTTGTAAACGCAACACTGGCTGAAGCTCTTGGCAAGACTTGTGAGTAAACAGCTATTAAAGCTAATGTTAGCTATATAGCAATAGCAAAGCTTACAAATAGCTCCTTTAAGGCGTTCACTCACACACCCTCATGTTTTGTTAACTTTAGTTGCTCATTGTTTATGTACATAACCATTTTTTCTTTTAAATATTTTGTTTTTTCTATTTTCTGACCTCATAAAAACCCAGTATGTAGAGAAGTAGCAAAGTGGTAGCTCAACAAAGTGCCACAAACTGACCTTGTACACACAAACAAGCATTGTTATTGCACCAAATAAATAAATATTTCATATGATCTAACAAATATATATTCCTTAAGTATTCACAGACAAAAGGAATGCTCTATATGTTATCCTACACAGTGACTTTTCTTATGTTTGGTTTGGGGATGGTGGTGCTGCATTAAAGATACTGTCAATGCAAATCAAATCCACTGTTGCTGGAGTCTCTGAGAAACATCATGCTATTTTCTGTAGTGGTCTGAAACACATCATCAGCTTAAAACCGTATTTATAACAAATTCTCATGAAAATAGGAAAAGTTTAATATTGTATTAATGTGATAAATGAAAATACATCTTAAATGATCACATTCTTTAAAAGTATATCTAAAAACAATACATCAAAAACACTGCATCCTCAAGTGATTTCAATGTAAGAGATGGGGGATCCATATACATCAAGCGGGTATCTTCCAAAGTTACAACATTTTTATTATGAAATTATCCCTTTGTGCTTTCACAGACAGCTACAGCAGGCAGATAGAAATAGAAAGAGGAAATTTAATACTGAAATGAAGAACTTGAAGACATCCACTAGATCTGATGACTCAGGTTGTTGAAGCCTTGTGTTATACAGAACGAGGGCTGTGGATTTTGTCCCCCATCACTTACACAGAAATTGCTATAAGAGAGGATCTCTTCATGGTCAGTATGGACATGATCAACAGCTATCATGACTACGTACCTTTTTTAATGTACATATCAACATGTCAGTGTTGTTTTGAGACAGGCTTCAAAAACTGTAAACCTATCCTTTAAGTATGTTTCTAGGCTGTTTAAAAGGATCCCATACAGAACATTAGGGTTTATTAAAGCATGTATTTCTGTGTTTGCACTTCTGGCCTCAGTATGATGTCCAAGATATCCTGTCTATCTAATGGGAGTTGGTAGGGAGTCTGTATTTTGCTCAAAGACTTCAGCAAAGTGGATTCTCACCAACTTCATAGTTTGGACTTCATGGGCAACCCTCTGACTCACTACACCCTCTCCCTGCTGGGCTGACAAAGGATTTTTCAAGAAAATCTGGCTTTTATGCACACAGTCTTCCTACAAACACACACCTTCCTCATGTGGCACAGAGCTCATTTCACCAGTTCTCCTTTCCCTCTCTGCACTCCTTTTAATCTCTCCCTCGTTCTGTCAACATCTAGTATGACACAGAGAGGATGGCACTGTTAACCTAAGTGCCAGTTTAAGTGGGGCTGTGCCACATGAACACATTTTTTACACTGTTCTGTGACAAGTCTCGACTTGTTCCAGGTAGTGAGACCCAGAAACACCTATACTATATACTAAACTACCTTCAATGAGAGATGTTAACATTCCTGCCTGATGAGATCTAGGTTAACCGAGCTTACACTAAGACAACAGAAATAAGAGGCTGGAAAGAAAGAAGTTATAGAAATGTGGCTGAAGTCAGATTGATTTTCTAACCGATATAGTTCCCAGTTGTAAGTCAGTCCTCACGCTAGGTAAAAATAAATAACCATGTGTCCTCTTTGACTTCATAATATCTGAGCTATTTTTAGCACAGGGTGTGGTGGAGTTATGATAAAGCAAAATAGCACAGTTCAATGACACTCCTCAGAGTGGCCCTGCCAGTAAACCACATCAACTTGTTGTTGTTTATCTCTTTCCACCTAGTTTTCTCAGGTCAGATTAACTCCTGTTCCAGATCCGAGACCACTTTTAGTCCTGTTTCTGTTGTGTAAGAGCAACAGAGTACAGTACGGTTTCACATGGCTGCATGTTGTAGATTCTTGTTAGAGTGCTGGTTTGAGAAAATGTCCCAGAGCTAACAGACTCCTTATTTTAAGATCTCAAAATGGACTGTGGATTGTGCTGTTGTGACACTTGTAAATGCTGAAAAACATCTACCCAAACCTGCTCAGTCCTGCCTCAGCTGACCAGTGCACACACACATATACCTACAGTGATCGTGACTCATGGAGAAATTCCCACTCTCCATTTTGCTGGTGATCCTGGCAGTGACTCATCAGAGAACATTCAGGATAGGTGTGACATTCTGGGACTGACTGCTGCCACTGTTCGACCGGACGAAACAGGTGGCGAGAGCCTCACTGTGAGAGAGGAAGTGGGAGTAAAGAACCTAAGTCATCTTTGCACTTGAATTTGTTTATGATCAAGACTTATTTCCATTGTCACTTTTATATAGTGTAATAAATGTGTAATCAAGACTGTGTGTCTTGTGTTTTTAGCCATGGTTACTTTTACAGGAGTAAAGAGTACATTTCATTGATAGACATTTGATGCAGTATTAGGTTTATGTGTGATTCGCTCAGTGTGGCTGGATGCGGTTTAAAGGTTTTTGGACAACAATGGAGGTCTATGGCACAGAGGAATGAGCCGCTGCTTTAGCGGCTTTAGGCACCTTAGGCAATATTTGTTTGTAGGTTCAATTAATTGTTGGCTTTTCATGGGATTTGTTGACAATGAGAAAATTGTGGAATATTACTAGCCTTATCCATGAACCATTTTATCTTTACTGTGTGCGACACCAGATTTGACAAGAACATATTGATTATGTATCAGTTAATGTACCAAATGGAAACGGGTCATGTATTTTCTGTGTTCAACCACATTGCTGGGATCTGTTCTTTCTTGCAATACAGCCAAAAGCAAACATATCTGGTTATTTCCTATGACTGAATGGGTAAATAATGCCAATCCATCTCTCAAGTCAAAAACAGTCCAAGCTCTCTGCAGAGACCCCACTCAGCCACTGTTTGCTTTTATTGCTTCAAGCAACAAGTATTGAACAAACAAGCCATAAATCAGCAGGTTTTAATTTGGGACAGTTCTCGGAAGCGACTGGATGCTCAACATTAGTGAGCCCTCTTGCAATGTCAAAGGTTTCTCTGGAGACATTCCAGTCCAGAGAGGTCCTCAGTGCACCCGCTCCCAGTTCAAGTATCTGGAATGTGTCCACCGCTCAGTGACTCTGCAGTAAAAGCAGCAGGAGCATGGACCTCAGGGAATCGGCAAAACCAACTGGTTGAAAGTTAACGTTAATCTCATTTTTGGATACCTTTGTATTAATTTTAGTCAAGATTGAAAGCAGCCTTTTCTCTATGAAATGCCATTTTCCTGGTGGGAAGGATACATCGTTTAGACCATGTGGAAATGGTCCAATTAAAACTGAAATGTAGACACCCACGTGCTGCCAAAGGACCTTACACAAAATTTCCATCAGCAAAGCTTCACAAAAAGATGGAAAAAGGGAAAAAAAAAAAGACTTTTGGACAAGACAACAAGTGCAACATGGGTTTATTGTCAAACTGGTTATTAAGACATGAACTTGATTAATGCCATATCAAATCTTAAACTCCGCTGTAGTAAAGTGCAGATTCAAATCAAGTTGCCCTGGGAGTCCTCATACATTTTCTATGTCTGGTTTTCAACTGTCAGGTTAAATAGACTGCAATATGAAATCCTATGAATTATGAAAAGCCCTTTTTTTCAACCCACACATCTAAAGCTAATGTGCAAACAAGATAATTCACAAAGCTTTACTAAACATGTCCTCCCACTCATTTGTGTCTTAAGTTCTCATACAATTGGACGACCGTTGTACAAATGAGCAGAACTATCCAAGCTCTAGTCTAGTTTGGTGTCTAGGAGTTGTCATGAAAGGTTTACTGCAGTGATTGGTTGGTCGATATGCTGCTGCTGCACATGCACAGTGGGCCAATGTTGGTAACCTACCCAGACTTTTCTTTTTGATCAAGATTATTAAAACAACAATGGCATTTAAAGGTCGGCCATGTATGAACGTTAAGAGGTCACTTCTGTGTACAAGCCTGCACACTCCAGCGGTTGTAGACAGTTTGGCCGCGTGGTTTCTAGTGGCAGTCATGTGCATTATGGAATCTCCATGAGTGCCACTTCACCAAACCTCCTGTCCTCAAAAATTTGTGTAAGCTCAAAAACACTCTGCATACAAGAGACATATCATGTGGCACTCACAATCACTCTTTCACACATACAGACATACACAATCCAATTCATTCACCCTTGCAACAATCAGTTCAATGGTTTTGTACCCCCCTCCTTCTTTGAGTGAAGGACGGGGATACTGAAGGAAACGGCAGCAATGAGGTAAACACAAAAATTCATGAGAGATATTGCACAGACAAGTGCCGGCACAGAATACAACAGTCTCTCTTTCCAACAGCCTAGCCTGTGCATAGGAAGAATAAAGCACTTATGGTGTTTACACACATTTAACCCTTCTCATAAAGCTTTGTTATACACTGAAGTGGGAACGACAAATGAGTCTAGAATCCACAGCACTTGGCAGATTTCCAGATTTGCATGACAATAACTAAATGTATTGTAAAAGTACAAAAAAAATTAACCCAATGATGACTGAGGAAGGGTCCATGACTGTTGGCAACAGTGATGGGACAAACTAAAAAAAACCAAAAAAAAAAAACCTGAAGTCCCAGCATATGTAGAAACGCCTCAATCCTTGCTTTGAGAGGAGAGAAACAGGCAAAGTTGAGGCTGGGTTGGAGCCAGCATGGAGAAAAATCTCTCAAGTTTCATTCAATAAATAGCATCGTGGAATATGCAAAAAAAAAAAAAAATCCATGTTTTCTAAAGCAAAAATACGTAAACCCTTTTCTCAGTTCATCCACAAATACAACTGTGTTTGTCCATGTTGCAAACCACTCCAAATGCATCCCCAGAGATCGGGCTGGGACCAGTCAGAGCTCTGGCTCCGTGAAATAGCAAACAGAGGAAGAAAATGTTCATTCATTCCTCCATTTACTCCAATCATTTTTCAGAACATCCTGGTTGAATAAGGACATTTTTGTGCACAAGACTCATCAAGTTCATACTCTCCAAATAGTTTAAATTTGCAAACCTAACCCACAAAATTTTGTCTTTCAACTCCTCAAACACCTCGTGGGTCAGGTGTTGAATCATAATGCTTCTCCAGTCTGTCCAGTCCACTCAATGTAATCACAACCCCTTCTCTTTTCATCCATCCATTCCCCTCTACTACTTCACGATCATTATCTGTGGAGCAAGACAAAGGCCTCTAGTTTCTCAGGGATGTTTCCCCGGTAGTCGAGGCCGTGCTTGACGATAGCCCTGGCGGCTAGGCACTGCAGCGTTGTGTGGTTTATGGGCTGGATGACATTCCTGGCCAGCTCCTTCTCGTCCAGGAGGTCGCAGGCCGTTTGTTGGAAGGCGTTGGTGCTGTCAAAGTGAGTCCCGCAGGAAATCAGCAGGTTCATGATGTCAGGGTGACCATTGGTTGCAGCTATGTGGAGGGGGCTGGAGGGGGGGATTGATAATAGATGCTTAGAGTACACAGCATATGTCATTATAGACAGGTCTGGTCTGACATTTTCATTATAGCATGCATCCTTCCTTTTCATTTCCCTTCTCAGTATACAGCCAGCAGAAATACAATGATTCTTCAACTACTTTCTACTATTATCATTTATGATAAATGCAAGTAAAAACTAAAAAACCCAAAAAGTGAATGGAACAGAGCAGGTGAAACATGAACAGCATGAAAAAATATCAACAGACCTGTTGTCATCTTCATCTCGGCAGTTAACATCTGCTCCACACTCAAGAAGAATGGAAGCGACTATGAGGGAGGGGAACTTGCAGACGGGATAGCGACCCACACAGGTGGTGTTGCGGTCGACTGCCAGGTGTAGTGGACTGTAGCCGTTCTTGCCACACGGCTGGAGCTTCAGGAATCTGAGGATGTGGAACGATGTCAACTTATTAGTCACGAAATAGCAACAAGGTGACAATGAACCACAAACATCATGGTAACAGCATTGCGCGAATATGAGACAATTTGCTGACTGACAGTGACGACTTCATGTTTGGTTTAACTATGACACAGATTATATGAGACAGTCATCTTTATGTACATGATTCATTGACAAATTCACAAAAAGCCTGTGGTAGACATGAAATTGTTTAGTTCAACTGACACCCTCTTTTTTTTTTTTGAGAGGACTGTAAATGTGAGCCCCCAGCTTGTACAAATTCACATTTCCAAAGCCAAAACCAGGTAGGGGATGACAAGACTATTTTCAAAAACTCAAAAATCACTGTCACAATACATTTTCTCCATCATCACAACTTCCATACCTTGTACTGCACACATGCACACTTTCATAGATAGATGGTCTTCATGAACATTTAAATATTACTGGAGGTCATGTTCAATACATTTTTCTCACTAAAGACAAATTGTTGCCAATATAAGTACTTTACACAGTAACACACCTATAGATGGTTTCCTTCTTGAAGTGGTCCTGCTCTGCAGTACATGGCACCTTCTCTAAAAGGCAAATGAGGTGCAGGATGATTGACAGGGCCTTGCTGAGCTGGGCAGGGTCAGGAGGCATCGGTCCATTTTGTTTGACCGCCCGCTCAATCTCCAATACGCTCTTGGACAGGATCCCCATCAAGTCCTCAAATGACACCGATGTCCCCAGGAGCCCCTTGGCCCTATCTTGTAGCATGAAGGAGAAAAGCTCAGCAAACGACAGCAGGCTAGAGGCCGTCATAGGGCTGAGGGGGTCCAGGTTGCTCTGTTGCATGTCGAGTGCATACTTCCACAGATTGATGCAGCGCTCAAAGTTCCCAGAGTCAGCATAAACAGCACCTCGGTAACGGATGTAGTAAGATGTGTCTGGATGTTGTGGGCCGAGGATTCTCTCACGGATGAGCAAAGCCTGCATGCGCATCTCATCTGGGTCAGATATCAGCCCATCCAGCTCTTCTCCATTTGTTACCTTGGAACAAGATTTAAAGGAGACGTTTGAAATTTCCCATGCACATGCAATGAAGTCAAGCCAACAAAACATACATATGAATTGAGACTGCTGCAGTAAGTTTTTTTCTGTTTTGTTAGTGCCTGAAAACCATTTTTGCAAAGTAAGCAGGGCCTTAAACGCCCAGTTTTCTTTGTTCTATCCCATCACAGCAAATGCACAATTTTGCAGCCTGTCTCTCCAATACTAAAGAGTGCAACTTTCAAGGTTTATCGCACAGTGAATTTAAATGCAGTCACCTTGCTAAAGTCTGTACTTTCTTCACCAAAATCTGACTAACTCAGCAATAATAAAACCTATTTCAAGAGCATTAAAATGCAGTATGGAACCACTTCAGGATGGTGCTAGATGAAAAGACAAACTCACCTCCCTGGCATAGTCGTATGCCATGATCAGCTGCTTGGGTTCCGGTTTATGGACAATGTTGTTACTGTCCGTGTACCTGAGGTCCATGGCTCTCTTCCAGTATTTTAAAGCTCCAAGCAGATCTCTCTTCTTGTCCACAAACGTGGCTCCCAAGAGCTCAAGGGCATCGATGCGTTCCATGTGGCTTGTCTGCAGAGGAAAGAACGTAATTTTCAATTTTCCAAGTTAAATATTCTATAGATTCTAAACAACATAGCCATAGCTGACATGCATCTACGGAGACAAACTCATTTGTAAGTGACAGTAAGCCTGACCTGCTGGTGCGTTGTCAGGTAGTCTACTATGTTAGTGTGGCCTGTGACGCTGGCAGAAAGAAGGGGTGTCATGCCGTAGCCATCCTGCTCCATGGAAGCTCCATACTGAAGCAACATTCGCATGATCTCTAGACTTCCTGACTCTGCACAGTCATGAAGTGCTGTGTTGCCTGTGAACAGAGAGAACACACATCTTATCACCAAGGGTACAGATTGTCAATTACATTTCATGAAAACACAGGGACAGTGTCACCACCCAGATGCTTAGCAGGGGTTGTACGTATATAATCAAGGAAAGTGTATTTGTACAATCTTTCTTTAATATAATTTGATAAAAAATTTACTTTGTTAACAAGTTGATTCTTGACAATTTTTGACAACCTTTGTGTAACCAGCATAAACAAACAGAGAACATGTAAAGAAAAGAAAGAGAAATTTAATTGACATTTGTATATCTATGCTTCCAGAGTAAGTTGTTTGTTGTTTTTTTTAAAGATGTACTGGCTGATGTGCAGAGTTTCAAAAAAATAACCCAAGTTTTTTTAACTGGTTTTAAATATAGCTGTAGACAGAGTAACACGAAAGCTGCAAGTGCAACTATTTACCCTGCATACTGCTCTTTCACTCTGAACATATTCAAAATATAGATCAGCTGATACCAGGATTATTGTGGATGCTGCCACTGAGCCACTTGTCTGTTGCGCTCATTTCCACCCAATCTTTAGCCTTTCAGGTGAGATGCATCATGGTCACAGTGTGGCCTTGTAATTCCCAACACCACTCTCATTCATACAGAAATCACAGGTCAGGCCGTCTTTAGCTCTAGCATATCTTCTTGAGTAAGCCTGGTGAGGAGAAGCTTTCCAGCTCAGCTCCTGCAAAAAAGGGGCCATGTAGTGCAAAAAAAGATTGACAATCATTTCTAAATTGAAAAATCTGTTTCCTCCCCACACAGTCCGTGACTCGTTTGATTTTCCCTTGATGGGTGTGTCACATAGGTGAAACCAGGCATGGCTTCACTTATGAAACCTTGCCAGGTGCCACGTTGATTTAAGACAATGTAGTATTTTTTAGCAGCTATCAAAATATAAAAAGGAGTGCATTTTGAGTTGAAACATGTATTCATGTTCTGATAATTCCTGACTGAGAACGCATAAAATGCCAATTTCAGGTTCATACTTCCACTCTGTGCTGATGATGAATGCAATCCTTGTCTGAGTGGAAAGACTGAAGGGATATTTTTTCAGTGAGCCCAAATTCACTATTACCATGTTTACTAAGAACTGAAACTGTCTGAATATGGGTAGTTTTTTTTTTTTTTTTTTTTTAATTTAAATACAGCACTTCTAAATATAACCCCAAATGCTAGATTTGTGTAACAGGGTTCCTTTCACAGTGTGTATACATGTTTCCCACTGATATATTTTCAGTGTTAAAGCAACAAGACTGTGCATCCAGACAAAGCACTGTGAGTTACACTTAAGTATGTAGTGTAACAACAAATAGCTGATGAACATGTGGAATTGTAAAGTGTGTTGTATCATTTGTAAAATGAATACAAACGTCTACAGATAAAATACTTTGACCAACTTGAAAGAAAGGTTTGCATGACAAGGATAGGCAAGACAAGCTTGGCCCTCAGTCCTTGGAAGCCAGGGTTAATTATCAACAAAAACACTGTCCTCCTTTACCTGTCGATCTTTTTAATGCAACGCTTTTGTGTAATGCTGCTTCGCCTTCGCTTGCTTCTAACCTGACCACTCACTGTACACGGAGGCTAATCCATATTCAAGCAGACAAGACCAAACAGGGTTAGTCAGGGATTAACCATTATTTATACTCTTCGATTTCTGCCAAAACTAACACCGGTCAGATTCCTTTTTATCATCCAAGCCAACTGTTGGGGCAGAAATTTCTGGGGGCAGTAGTGCTGCAGCTTTTCCACTAGTTAATTAAAGACAAACATTTTTTTCTGTAATGTTAACCCATCTTGCCATTGATGTTATGGCTCTGGACAGCTAAATGCTTTCAAATTGATGATGTGATGTGATTGTGATTACACAGTCCAGGTTTTAATATTTTTCAAATATTAAATACCATTTGCTTCAAAAGGAATATACTGTCCCATGGTGGGTTTTTTTTTTTTTTTGGGGGGGGGGGGGGGGGGGGGGGGGGGGCTGTAAGGGTTTTATGAGGTGTAAGAAATGTGTTTACTTTTGTTTATCTGGATGATACCTCCACTAAGAACTAAAAACGATAATCCAGGAATTTAAAAATCCTTCCCAGGGATTACTCTGAATACTCATTATGGGCCTCCAAAACAGAATACAGAATTTAGGCTACTTTAAGCTCAAGAGAGGAGGGCACCTCAAAAATAGGTGTTGTACTGAAGGAATTTAATAAAGTGACAAGTGTTGGTTCATCTAGGGAGGCAGACAGCTGGCCCCAGCTTTTTTAAGATGTTCACTCAGCTGTGATTGTGGGGTCCAGACTTGTTTGCCTTCCTCCATCAAAACAATGTCCATTGTTTCTGGAAATTTGCCACTTCATGTCTAATATTACACACCTTGTCCTTCCTGTTGGTTCAGCTGTTATGAGAAAAGCAATATTAAAAAAAGAAAGAAAAAAAAGGGCTGGAAAGAGCTTTCCCTCTAAAATCATCACATGAGATGCCGTCAAGATTGATTGCAGGCACAAGCATTGGTTTGTGCACAAGAGAGCACCTGTCTCCTGCTCCTCTACTGGTCAAGAAAACCAGGTATCTGGACTTTATTGTGGATGTTGATGAATGAATTCTGCCAAAGGTGGGTTCATCAAGTGAGACAAGGATGAGCTACAACAGCACAGCCCTGACCAATGGAAGTGCAGGAGGTGAGCATGTAAATGTGTCCAAACCCAATACAAATGCATACTTGCATGTTGTTGACAGAGTCCCGCATGAGGATTAACACAAAAGCCACATATATAGCTATATTTTCACAGCATGATAAACTGGAACACACTGAGCCATGAAAAGTGGCCTTTTTTTTTTTTTTTAAATCCACTGTAACAAACATGAAACATACAAATGTTCCATCTACAGTGGTCAACTAATTGATACAGAAAACTATTAAATCGCAAGATATCACTTTGATACGCATCAGAGCTATTCTGTGGTCAGTCACATCATAGTAGACAATACCCTAAACAAAACAGATGGACACTGCTTCATGGTGGGGGGGGGGATGTCATCTTTCAGACACACCCACAGACGTGTCCAGGCTGACATAGTCATCTTCATAGCTTTCCATTGCGAAACCAGAAGTTCACGTTCTTCTGTTGAGTCATCTCAGGTGGAAATATGCAAAGGGTTGAATTATCATTTGGTTAAAGCCAAGTGTGCATTTAGATTTCTATATATGTATATATAATCATTTCTGATGTATGAGGGCATCAGAGGGTATTTAGGTGTTTACAATATAATCCTCATTTATTCTTTGATTCCCCCCCCCCCCCCCCCCCCCCCAAAAAAAAAAGACTTACTATGAGATCTATAAAAAAAACCTTTATGATCTATCCATCTATCATTTCTCTCTCAACACTGCTGAGTTACTGTGGATAGGGAATTCTAATCATGTTAAACGCTGAAAAGTACAACTACAACAAATACAGTTTATCTTATCTCCTGGTCAGAGATCATGTGGATAAAGGACGACACTGGGTGTTATTTGGTTGCAGCTGATTGTGTAGCTGAGTGTGTTACCGACTCACCTTTTACACTTTTCCTGTTAACATCTGCCACCTTTCTCCAGCAGGTAACTGCGCTATCTCCTTGTGTCCCGTACTGTAGCAGGAATCATAAGAACACGTGTGGCATGTCTGTTGGCCACCTCCAGGTCAGCCTTTGTGCTCGCACCAGGTATTTCACAATGTCCAGGTGGCCGTCAAAGCAGGCCGCCTCAAGGGTGTTGAGTTGGTCAGGCGTTGTGCGTGTTGACAGAAGCACCGTGGCCCAACAGGGACTGGACCACCTTCAGGTGACCCCGCCTGCCGTGAGGCGGCCCAGAGAGGGGGCGCTCCCTCGATGGTCTCTCCGTCAAAGTTCACCGACCCACCGACTCAACAGGAGCGCTACAGCACTCCAGCAGATACTCTACAAGTCCAGGTGGCCGTAACGGAGCGCCATCAGGAGCGGCGTGGCCCCATTTGTCTTTTGCCATCAACTTGGTCACCTCGGTCCATCTTTGTTCTCCAACAGTTTCTGAGAGAAGCCGGGCTTACCGTCCCTGGCTGCGTTAAATACTGCCGTCTTTAGATCCATTTCTAAGAATTCGTTTTCCCTGATAAATAAAAAGGCAACGATGTCCGTGGACATGAGTGAGCGATAACTCGAGCTGTAAACGTTGCTGTGGACAGATGGAGCCTCGGACCCTTTGTTTACAAGCTCCGACTTTCTAAGCTAACGGTTAGCGTTTTGCGTTAGGAGCCCACTGGCAATTCGCGTCTTTTCTTGACTTAGCTTTCAAAACTAGCATCACCATTTATTTAACTCCATTTACTGGCATACCAGTTACTTAACTTATGAATAACTCGGGCGTTTGAGCGACCCTTGCGTCCCAGTAAGACATTTGTGCGCCGAGCTAGCAAGGGGGCTAGTCAACTCCTTGCATCAATTCAGCCTAAACCGACTGCTCCGCTTAGCTACAACTTAACCACCTCTATTGAACTGTTCAACCAATACTCATTCACTGACATTTCTTCCCTCCCAAGAAGCTCTCCTACCATTACATCTTGCTACCCTGCGCTTGTCCATTTGTCTCCACAACATAGCTCCTTGAGACGTTATTTATATTCGCTTTCCCGAGGCCGAAACGTAGAAATCCACCCCCACCCGTTTACGCCGTCTGCTGCCGCTTAGCTTAGCGCTGGAAAACGACGTTCGGTCTCTCGTTCTTGTGCGGATATCGCGATATCCAGGCGGTTTTCCTTTTACCACACACGCGAGAACAAACGACAGACGTTACACCCCGCCCCCGAAAAAACAGCCGAATAACAGATCGTCCCATCGTAGCCACATCAGCGAGCTGGCAACGACAAAATCTCTGGCGAAGGAAGGTAAAAAGGGAGCGGCTATCCACACCACGGCCTCGGACCGGATGATCACGACTCAGTTTCTTGTCAAATCGCAAGC